ACTCCTTTTGCCCATACAGTAGATATCCAATAACCGCAACTAAAAATTATCGAAACACGTGTAACATTGCAGCGTTTTTGTTCCATTGACGGACAGATAGACGAAAGAGCTGTGCCTTGAGAACTCGTCGAACTGTCTTTGTACTGCTTTTCTTGTTATTTCTCTAAGAATTCTATAGAAGGCGTCGGAATTCCTATGGTAATAGGTGCCGAGTCTGAGCTATGGACAGCTCTAGGCATAGCTCTAGGCAGCTCTAGAGGCAGCTCTAGGCAGCTCTAGGTCTAGGGCGGCTGGGCGTGTGGCGGCGCTCCGAGTGAGTCCGTTGACCCGCTCGGACCCTCGGCGCTGCGGTCTGCTCGACTCCGCACTCGCCTCGATCCGGTAAAGCTCTCGGTCTCTATTGGGCCACTACCTCTTTTCTTTCTTGAAGCGACGTCGCCGACCTTTATTCAGTGATTTCCCGCACTCTTATACTTTGTCGCCGGTCAGGCACCCCCATAAGACCACCACTCGTGCACCCACGATGGTACTGCTTCTTGTAACCCAGGGACCCATGCCATGCCATGCCAGCAGGGCCAGGCCGGGCCGGGGGCTGGTGGTCTATGTCTTTTCTGCCTTGACAGGCGGGGGCGGGCGGGGCCGGCGCAGCAGAGGCCCTACACGCCAGCAGGTTGCAACGTGGCCCCAGCGGGGGTCAGTGTTCTCTCTTCTCGGAACGAACGTCATCAGTCTTGGCCGGCCCGGCCTGCCATTCCCCTCCGCACATGTGGTCACTGTTATGTGAGGCTGCGTCCGGGGGGCGTTGTCATGGGAAAGGGCGGCCGAGCCCCGGATACCCTCCGGAGACGAGGCCTGGCCTCGTTTTTGAACGCGCCCCAACCGCCCGCCGGCCTGCCAGCCGCCTCCCACCGCCCCACCGCCCACCCCCGCCTGCGAACGATGCGACCACTTCCGACCATACCAGGGTAACAACAGCGAATAGTCATTATGCATGCCGGAGTTACCGGGCTCTGGGAAATGGGCAAAGTAGCATCTTAGCGTGGGAGGGAAAAATAAAAATAAAACGGCTAAAACACGACATCATGCTGCACACGGCGCCAGAGCAGACCACAGGATGGCGTCGCCAAGCCCCTGCGACATCCGCTCCCTAGGGTCGCGGCCGCCCACGCGTCCACGCTCCTTATTCGCATCATCCCTCGGCCCGGGCCCGCGGGGAGAGGGGACCCGGCGCACTGTGCGCCGCCAGGGCGCGTGGTCCCGTTACAGCATCAGAACAATGGGGCGGCCGAGGTGGTCGGCAGGGCAAGCCGCGGCCCCCGCGGCCACGGCCACGGGCCACGGCACTTGCTGTCCGAACGGGACCGCTGCTGCCGACGTTCTATACACGAGGAAATCTGTGCGCCCCAAACCATCTGGTCCCCGGGCCGCCCGCCGGGGTGCGAGGGAGGGATACATTATTGGTTACCGGACCAGGAGGTCCTCTAACGGGATGGTCCTCTGGGTGCCCTCTGGTGGCCGCCGGGGGAGCGCACGGGGCCAGGGGGGCAGCAGGCTGCAGGAACACCTGCCCCGGCATTCAACCAAACCCGAACCCTTTATTTTTTGTAACCCTCCCCTCCACCTTCCTTTTCCTTGAGGCTGCTCACGCAATTCTTCCGTGAAGCTGTGTACAGGGGGAGGGGCGCGCCGTGCGGGTGTCGTCTGTTTGTGCATGGGATGTGCCGTTCCGATTGTTGTCGGGTCGGTGTTGAGGGAAAGTCTCGGCGGGGACCCCGTAAGGGACCACCCCCCACCCGGAAGACCGCCGCCGCCCCCCAAAAAACAATCGGCCGCGCATCGAATGGGTCTACTACCTGATTGCGCACCGTCGACTTATTCTCACGGGCTGTTTGGGTGCGCATCGCTTCTTCCTGACGGGTCGGGGGAGGGGGTCACAGCATTTGGCGTAGAGTACCGTAAACCCCGGTGGAGGTGCCGCCGTGCGGTGCCCCCGGTGCCCCAGGCAGCCCTATCGAAAGGGGGAGGGCGGCTCCTCTTTTCTCGTAGTTTTGTGGTTCAAAAAGGGGCAGCGAAGGATGATGAGGGAGTATTTTTGAAATCGCCACGGGCCACAGTATGAAAAACACTGAACAAAAAATTAAATGTTTTGTCATGGATTGGCTCATGTCGATCACTCAAATCTGACGCGGTTTCTTTCCATCATTCAAGTAGTATTCGGTCGAGACAACAACTGTGGATATCGGAATTTGAGCTATCAATTTTACACTCAAACTTTAGTCTAGTGAACAGAGTTTCTATCACCACGAAAAAGTCAGAAAGGCAGAAACAAATCTCTTTCTAAAGCAGTTATCAGTTGTAATGTTGGTACTCGTACTGTTATCTTTTGGAACTCCCAAGAAGGGTTCGGTGTTCGCCCTTGTTCACATGTGCTAATGCTGATATCCTAGTCACCGACGCGTAGCTCTTGCCTGCAGAATGCTTCACAGTACGTAGTTCTGTTGCAAGTGTATGTGGCAGTCCGCAGACGGTATTGAACTTGACCGCCTAGAACAAAGGCATGTTTTCTCCTCGGGGCTCCGTGCAGCTCCGCGGGAAGCGAGGCATGGCGAGGCATCGCGGTGCGGCGGCCGTGGCGGCGGGCGGCGGCGGCGGTCACTGACCTCCTAGACCGAGTCGAGGAGGCTGTTCGCACTCCCGCCCGCACTGTTGGCGGCCACTCGCAATTAAGACTTTTGCTTCAGAAATGGACAAATAATATGAGCGTATGAATGTGCTTCGGGTAAGAAACATCAGGAAATGTCTCTCTAAGGAAAATGGACTGTTTAAAAAACTTGTGTCTTCTGTGCGAAAAGCATTAACAGGGGAACAAAATAAGGTATCGGTGTAGATATCAGTATGCATACGCCCAGTGTTGCGGGTACGGCTGCCATTGTACTGTTAACTATCCAAACGCTGCGCGCCGCGATTGGATGGTAGGTAGGCCTTATTTCCCTCACCGCATAGGGTTACATCGGGCAATATGCATTACTAAAATCGAACGCTATGTGAGACTTGAATCGATTGTAGCACATCTGGAAGGAGCACTTTGTTGTGTGGTCGCGCCTTTCCCCGGGCGCCTGCGGCTCGGCTGGCGGAGACTGGAGACTTGCACGCCAGGCGTGTCTAACGAGCGCGTCGCGACGCTCCCGCACCGCCGGGCCGGCAGGGCCGATCCAATGGACGTAAGTGCAAAGATTTGCAGACGTAGCGGCACTCCATACGGTGCCGCGGGGTCCGAGGAAACAATAAAGACGCGGAAAAGGCGGAGAGGGACTCGGGGAGGGATGCGCTATGAAGACGAGAAAAATGGAGGAAAAGTTCCCGCGCGGCGCGCACGGGGGCCACGGCGAGTGGCGCCGGGCGGCGGGAGTAACAGGACCCCGCCGTGCCCTTACGCGAGCTGCGCGAGACCGTCGCGACCCCGGGCCGGGATGCAACGGCAACGGCTCCGAGGGGGCGCCTCTGCGATAAACAGTTCCCGCCCCGCGCTTTGTCCCGCTTCAGCCCTTCGCTTCGCGCGCCTGACCCCCCGTGATGCACCGCATCGACAATGGTTTTGTGTCTTTTCGGATTGTGTTGCAAATGTAAAGGATTCTTGCGAGGCGTTTCGTTTGCAAACAAGTAAAAGAAGAAGGAAAACTCTTTTCGGTGATTGTGCGATGCGTGACGGAAAAGTGTGACTTTGTGAGGGATGGCGACTTTCTGAGATAGTTACGGCTGGTTACGGCATATGGTTCTTTTGTAATTTTTGGTGTGGTGGGTATATTTGTATGTATTCCAGAGGTCGGTCGTTCGCACCGGAGAAGTTTCCTTTCTGTTCCAGCATCATTATCGTCATCATCTGGACCTTTCTTTTCGATCCGGAGAATAAATAAGAAAAGGAGGAGAGGGAAGAGAACAGTTATGTCGAGTCGGGAGTGGTTGGCCGCGCTGCTGCTGCCGACGCCACCTCAACAGATTCCCTCTCCTTCCATCTCCTTTCCATCTCAACCCTCTCCCCCCACTCTCTTCCAACCTCTTCCAGAATCATCTGGAGTTTCTTGTTTCCTTCTACTCTGAGCCCGCCCTCACGTACTTCATCACCAATTACGAGCTGTTCTCCCCGAGTTTGTTTCTCTACCCTCCTCGTTTACTTTTGGTTCACTCTCTCCCTTTCTGTTTTCTCGTCCATTCGTTCATCGACGACGTTCTCCTCATTTCTGAGCAAATATGGACGGCGGACCACCGAGGCCGCGGCGAAAAAAAAAGGAAAACACGTTGGTGCCACTGTCTCGTCTTATGAGAGTAGCCCGCAAGCACCGCAAGGCTTTTGTTGAAAAAGCTGTACTAAATGCCATTCCCAGAGCCCGTCCAATTGCGCTCAGTCTTCTACATGCTTCAAACATTTGCTGTAGATTTAGCTTAAATAAATTTTAACAGTCGGAAAGAGACGGCAAGTCACTTCCACATACAGTTTGGGGAGAGGGTGATATTGATGAATATTCCCCTTTACATAATTTTTCTTCGAAGATTTCAGATTCATTTTTTAAGGTTTAAATTTTGAGAAATTCTCGGTGTTTTGCGGTCCGTTACGAGTTGTTGCTGGTCTGCGGGTCTGCCTACCTACCCTCAAGAACGTGGTCAACAGGCAACCAGTAGAAGAATGACTTGAGTGTGCAGTTCAGACATCTGAGGTTATTATGGGATCTATAGAATTGCTGCTTATAATTTGGGAGAGAAATATGACGAACGTTTTGTCTCGTGGTTTTGTGGAGATGTTTGGACAAATGGCACACGATTAAAATGTCACTGAAATGTCTCATAAAAAAATAAAAATTAGTTATCGTTCTCGTACGAAATTTGATAGATTTTGTGAGAGAATGTAGGAGTTCCTTATTTTACAGAGTAGAGAGAAAAGACTTATTTCTGGTACCTAACAGCTTGTTCCACCAACTTCTCTTTGCTTGTTTCAGAAGGTTAGAAAAGCGAATCTGCGGTTTCCGGTCGATCAGATCAGAGGTGGCGGAAGTCTATCCTGGCGCGGGCGCGCAGGAGGCGGTGCGGTGCGACGGGCTGGCGAGGGGGGCCTCCTGGCCCTGGCCTGGCCTAGGTAAGGTAACGGGACCGGCTATATGGATGCAGAGCGGGGCAGGGGCCAGGGCCGGGGCGCCCACATCGGAGGGACAGGACGAGACGAGACTAGAGGTTCTCGCCATCCTGTCGATCGATCAGTTTGCCCAACGGTATGCATATTATTCCTCATACGAACGGAACTGCCCTGAGCAGGAAGGGCACCGCGGGCAGCCTAAATTTACTCTAACAATCTTGCAGGCTTCGTGATCAACTCTTCACAGAAGGTTTCGTATGGATGCCGGGCTAACCTCTACAGCGAGCCATATCGCCGAGGCAACTGTCAATGGAAGTCGGTTCCCGGTCACAGTCCTTTGAAGCGAGGGCTGCCCTCGACGCAGCTCTTGGACACCACCACCACCGCCTCGAGCGAGCCTGTCGCAGGGCGCTGGAAGCGGTGTGCATGTTGTGTAAGTGTTGTGTCCGCAGGTGGGTGGGGGCGTGGGGGCCGTCACTTGCACGTTCATGACGTGCGCTCGAGTACCCTCACTGACCCTGTCCGCTTGCATTTGAATGTGCCTTCCCTACTTGACGCACGTCCCTCGGTCAAGGCCCTACACCCGGCTACCCCTTCCCGGGGCAGCTTATGCAATGGCAGTGTAGCTCTCCTCCGGTCTGATCGGCTCCCTTCGGCTCCTCTCGGCTCCTCGGCTCCGGCCGGTGCACCGAGTAGTGGGGGCAGCCGCCGGCTCTGCTGGCTTTGCTGGCGGGTCAACGCCCTCCCGGCCCCTGCCTGCTGGCTGCCGGCCCTAGCCGTCCTCACCCCGGCCCCCCGGCCCGGCCCTGGAGCTCCTGGAGTCCCTTCTCCTGCAGGCTAAGGCGGGGGTCCCATGTGCAACTAGCGGTCCGCCGAGCTCTCCTTCTGCTCCCCTGGCGCGGGCAGGGCAGGGCACCGCGGGGCCCCACCAGGCGCCACGTCGCCATAGCGCCGCTATCATGGGCCGCATTCGCGTCGGCACGAGACTTTGGGCCCCTTTGCCCAGGAGCGCTCGCTAAAGGACGAGGTGTGCGATGGCCGTTGACCCGAGTTCCTGGTGTTGAGCTGGGGCTGCGCGGGGGGCACGGGCGGCGCGGAGCTCGACCTCTGCGGCTGGCCTAGCGACCGAAGTGCCCGCGGGGATGTGTGATACCTCTCCGAAGAGTTCAGCGACCACTCTGTGATAGAGAAAGAGAAAGAAATAGACACGGCGCTGCTAATGCCGTCATCTATCCCGCCTCTGTCGTTCGCCAATCTAGGGGGCGTTGAACGCGGGCCGCAGCTGCGCGCTCGCCCTCGGAGGGGTTATTCGCTCGCCCAAGAAGAAGAAGGCCCCGGCAGGCCCCGACCGAGCCCGCGAACCACGTCATCCCGACCAGGTCCTCTCGAGCCCACTCCCATCAGCGCCAATCCAAGTGATTCAAAGTCGGACGAGGAGTCACTTGGAAATGTATGAAAAGCACTTCACGGCGAATACTTATTTTATGAACAAATCATGCTTTAGTTCATGACCGAGCACATTACCTGTGACCCAAAAATAATGTTTGAACAAGATTTTGCTCGTTTTGAATAGAAAAAGACCATATCTTGGCCGTCTTGGATCTTGGATCTCTTCGATTGTCGCAATTAAATGTGACCAACCTGATTAACATTGTTACCTTAGACTGCTCGTGTTTAAATCCCATACTTATCTTGTCGATGTCGACTGTTTTAGGTTTGCCCTGGGTTTGCCACGCAGCGTGTGGGATGGAGTCTCTGTATATACAATCTTTTCTCTGAGACCAAGCTTTTACCCAAGCCGCACCTCAATTTACTCTATAAAAACCCTCTCCCCAAAAAGAAAAGAAAAAAACGTTTGCGAAAGAAGAGGACTCATGCCCCAACCATTTTCTTTATATATTTTTTGCGAACATGTACGAGCTTGTGTGTGTGCGCGTGTGTGTGTATGTACGAGAGAGAGAGAGAGAGAGAGAGAGAGAGAGAGAGAGAGAGAGAGAGAGAGCACTGGATGGGTGCATCGTCCTCTAATCGACCTTCGGATGAAAAGGCCCGACGACCCAACGATCGCTGCAGCCCTGCCGCTGCCAGTGCTGCCAGCTCATCCTCCTGTAATGAACAAAATTCCTCTTCCGCGCCCTCAGTCCTCCCTCATTCGGCTCATTCCTCGTCGTCCTCCCGTGCGCTTACCTCCTCCTCTGCGCCTTATGCCCTCTCTCGTCCCCTCTCGTCCTTTCGTCGCCTACCTCACCTTACTCCTTTGCGCCTACCTTTCTCCTTTGCGCCTACCTTTCTCCTCCGCGCCCTCATAGTCCTCCTCCTACCCTTCCCCGTGTCCTCTCATAATACTGTAACCGTTGCTGTGCGTTCTCTCGGGTTGGATTCGCACTACAGTGTTACACGCCGGACGTTCACCCCGGACTGAGGCTGCGCTATGCGCCATTCATCACGCCGACGCTATTTGTCACACACACGCGCGCGCGCACACATACAGACGCAAAGCTCTAAGACAAAGGCAATGACCAGGCGGTCCCCTCCCGTCGCGTTGTTTTACAACTGTGTTCATAAGCACATGCACTCCCTTTTGTGCGATTCGCGATCCTTGCCCGTTGTGTTGCGGTTCCTTCGCCACACTGTGACAGCTGCCTTTTTATTTATTTCTCTCTTTTCTCGTTTAGGGTTCTCTGGGTTTTCTCCTTTTCTATTTTTTCTTCTGAAAAGTTCAGTGGCCGGGGGGATCGCAAGTATGCGTTGATGCAGATTTCTGAGAGTGGACGGAAGAAAAGTGGAAGTGGAACTGGAAAAGTGGCAGGAGGAGAGGGACCTTGAGAAATGGAGAAAACCAGCGAAGGGGAATCCGAATCATGTATTTGAGGCCGGACCATACGATTATAAAGCTCCGCCCAAATCATGCTCGGCTCTGGATCCCCGTGGGCGAAGGAGGGTAGGGGCAGGTGTGGTCGTGATGCAAAATCTGGAACCCTCGTCATAACTGCGGAGGAGGCATAGAGGGAGAGGGGAGGGAGGCGGCGCGCTGCTCAGCGCTGCTCAGCCTCAGGTCGACGACCGCGCGGCCCGTGCCGGCTCGGCTCCCAACGGCTCGGCCCGGCTCGCTCCCGCCCCGGCTCGGCTCGACGGCCTGGTTAGGCTCGACTCGGCCCGGCCCGGCCGCAGTGTGAGTGCGCACTTCTTGGTTCGGAGAGAGGATGATAATGATGCGAAAACGATGCGAATAAATAAATCTCTCCAATTTCAAAATCATAACGACCGTTCACTTTACAGGCATGGTTCAAAACACAAACCTAAGCCCGTTGCACTAAGCAACTAAGCACGACAAAGGGGCGCGGGCGTCTTCGTCTTATCACGATGGCTCTTCTCTGTGTTTTCTAAGTTTCCTTTTTTTGCCGTGTTGCGGATTCTTTTGAAAAGAGGGAGGGGGGACTGAAGAGTGGCCAACGACCCCGAGCTTGCGCTCGGAGTCATCTTTTGGCAAGGTGTTCCGGCATGTGTAGAGGGCGGGTGCGACCCCTCCCCGCGGCCCAGGCCCGGGCGGGCCCCGCCCTCTGCCCCAACAACGGCCTGCTCGCCATGTGCAGTGCAACCTGCAATGGGATATGCGGCAAGTCCCTCAGATTTATTTACTCTGCAAAGAACCACGGTGCTGGGCCAGCTGCTCATATATTTTCCTATAAAACTTTGATTCCCCTATCTGAAACAGTTGCAAACATTTGAGCGGGCTTTTGGATCTTTTCAGCAACGACGATGTCCAGGTCTTTGACCCGTGATGCCTCGACCACCGCCCCCGCTACATTACGTGCACTTGTGAGGCCGTCGGCATGGCACCTCCTCACCCCGCCACCTCCCGCCACCTCCCGCCGCGGCCGATGCGAGTCTAGGTAAGTGGCACAACGAACCGACTTCACCTCACCTCTGGCAGGCCCTGGCTGGCCCTCCTCGGCGTGCCCGGCAGCACCCTGCGGCGGAGCAGCACCGCTGCACCCATAGACTGCACCTCGTTTCCGAAAAGAAACCCGAAACGGCGACAGCCGCGTCGCCTTTTCATGTGCCGGCATTCGATGGTCGCCGTCAAGAGACGGAGTCTTCCGGACGCGACTTTGAACGGTCAATATGGCTGATTTCTGCCCCCTTTGGTTTAGTTTCACTCCTTCGGCGACCATACGGTCGCTCACTCACTCACTCACTCACTCACTCACTCACTCACTCACTCACTCACCCACTCACTCACTCACTCACTCACTCACTCACTCACTCAGTGCGGCCATCCCGCGCGTGTCTATGTGGTGCGAAAGCTAAACACTTTTTGTTTCGCGATGAAATCGGTGAAAATATATATTTGCGCGTGACTGCGTCCCCCCCGCGTCTGATTCATCGAATCCTGCTTCCCCTCCCCTTATTCGCGTGCTGCTGTGCTGATGCTGCGCGTCAGAGCCTCGGGTATCCCCCTGCAGTGGCGTCACTGGCCTACATGTGCACAAACACCGGCTCCGGCTCCTACGCGCAGCAAGCAGCGCCGCCTGCGCAGCCACAGCCGGCACGACAGGTGCTGTGCGGATCTTTTATTCCCATTTCAGTGGGTCGGGTCGGGGGCGTCGCCGCGGCAGGGGGCCGAGTCGGGTCGGGTCGGATCGGTGACGTCGGGGAGGGCTCGAAATGAATCGGGTCAGTGGGAGTGTGCAGGGTCCAGGGTCGGAGAGGCTGACCCGGCTGAGTGAGCCGCGGGCGGGAGATGAGCCTCTGGGTGGAGCGGAGACCTCAACGCAGCGCCGCCACCGAGCGCTCAGCCCCCTGTGCTTCAACTACTCCAACGAGGGGTGCTAGCGCTAGCGTCGCCAGGGTCACAAAGAAGTGTTTTGTCAGCCCCATCTCAAATATCTGCTGTTCGGGCGGTCAGTGCAGTGCTGTATGTACAAACGACCCAGCCAAGCCTGTCTAAAGGATGCCTAAAAGTTTGAAAATTCTTGCGGCATATATTACTGTGCATGCTATCTGCATTCCATCCTGGCGACCTACAGCACAGCACGACAAGACACATTCCCCCCCTCTTCCTCCCCTACGGGTCTCTGTCTGCCACTGGAGGAATCATGTTACCGAACAGGGTGGAACCCGGAAGGGCGGCTCGCTCTGTTTTGAAAATGGGACAGGAGGAGGGATTTCACGGAATCCTTTTGCCTGCCCGAGTGCGCCGTGGCGTGGGGTGGCGCTGCCCCTCCTCCTCACTCACCGCCCTGCCCTCCTGCTCTGTACTGGCGCACTATTTTTTCCCCCGGCTCCGGGATATAACGGGGCCCCTTTGTGCTGGTGCGGGGGCCCCGGTGCCCAGGCCGGCCAAAGCGAGAGGACCATGGTATGGGGACCGGGTGCGCTGGAGGGGCGGTTTGAATGTGATATGAGTAGCATTAGCATCAACAGTTACAGGCCTCGTTATAGGGCCATGGGCGCATGGGCGGTTGCCCGGCGGTGCGGCGGCGTCTCTGGTCAGTGCCATGGGCGAGCGCTGCTGACACCCATGGGTTAGGAGGGTTTACTCTACTTTGTGGTGGTAGCTAACAGGAGTTGCTAGACCAAGTTACCGCCCCCCCCCCCCCCCCCCTGGTGGTAGCTAACAGGAGTTGCTAGACCAAGTTACCGCCCCCCCCCCCTCCACATGTTCACTTCCACGGAGCACCCTCTACCCGCTACAGTACCTTTCACGGGGTGGCGTTGAAGTCGACTGGGTGCTGCCGCGCTCAGACTTATACAATAGGATAGATCCTCCAAGGGCAAGTGAATTGAACTCAATAAGATTTAAAAGGCTCGCTCTCTATGCAGTATAATTTGGGGTGCCTGTAAATTATGGAAATGAATCGGGGGACGATCAGGTAGAGACACATTTGCGTAATAGGGCAAGTCGTTTCATAATGTTTTGGTTGTAAAGGTTTGATAACTTGGGTAAAGTACCCCCTTCCCTCCCCTTTTTTTTCCATGTTTGAGGCCTGCATTCGGTGCGTTCAACGACCGGGGAAAAGTGTGTATATCGCCTCCTTGTAAAGTGGCGTCGATGAAATCACAAGTGTAAGAAGGTGTCGGCGGGTGTCGGGGTCTGGGTTAGCCAGGTTCGGACGCAGACTGTCCGGCGTTGGGGTCAGGTCGGTGCCACCCTCTTGTCACCGTGGCGCCTTACGGCCCCGTGCGAGTTATGCAACCCGCCCGCACGCTTGCATGCTGTACAGTACAACATAAGCAAAATAAAGGAAGGGGACCACCCTGAAATCTAATTTGTATTGTAATTGTCTGTACGTTAACGTAACCAAGCCAGAGACCAAGCTGCCTGGATATGTGGCGAGCCTCAGTTCCCCACAGGTCTGTGTGAATTCTTGTAAATATTTCAAAGCCTCCTACCCCATCTACAAACCACTGATACAAATAATGTTGACCAAAAATGAAATGAGTTAAATCAACCATACCAGGTGGCTGATTCACGCCGCGCACTTCTGTAGGTATACTGTACCGCATGCACGAGTGCGGGCGGGCTTGCCTATCGTCGCTCGCCGTGGCGCCTTACGGCCCCGTGCGAGTTATGCAA